TTTAAATTTTTTTCTTTTTTAAGCCTCACTCAAGGATATTTTTTCCATTGATTTTTAAACAGAGTGGAAGGGAGGGAGAGAGATGCAGAGATAGAAAAATTGAAGTGAGAGAGACACATCGATTGGTTGCCTCCTGCACATGACTGAGCCTGCAACTGGCTTACCAGGTACATGCCCTTGACCAGAATCAAACCCAGGAACCCTGAGTCCACAGGCCTACACTCTATCCTCTGAGCAAAACCGGCTAGGGTGAGAGTGAGATTTAAGAGGTTGAGGGAAACAGGCTGGTTTGCAGAAGCGCTGGCAGGGCAAGTTTCAATGGGAGAACTTTGGAACTTGGGCATTTATGGTAAGATATGGTAACGGACTTTATTATTGGATCTTCCTGGAAAACAGATTCTTAGCTTCTGAAAGGGGTTCTTTAGTTCCTTGAGTGGGGAGAGGGGAGAAAGGTTGAAACTTTGGTTCCAGGTGTTATTGGAGGTCAAAATTCCATCCTCTATTTAAGCTTGTCCTATTGTCTCTGAAAAACAACTCAGTATCTTGTTAGGAACAGAATAAGACCAGTTTGAACTGAATCTGCAGTTACACCTGTGGTTCTGTTTTTCTTTAACACTATTAAAATACAGCTTCATTTAAAATTTTTAAAATCTATTTTTATTAATTTCAGAGAGGAAGGGAGAGGGAGAGATAGAAACATCAATGACGAGAGAGAATCCTTGATCAGCTGCCCCTTGCCCACCCCATTGGGGATTGAGCCCACAACCTGGGCATGTGCCCTTGACTGGAATCCAACCTGGGACCCTTCAGTCCTCAGGCCACTGCTCTATTTACTGAGCAAAACCAGCCAGGGCTTAAATTTTATGTGAACTCCACACTTTTCCCCAAAACCCTGTAACAACTACACCTTTTCCTTTGTGAACCCTGAGGACTAAGAAGGGTTACTGGTGGCTAACTTGGCAAAAAAAGAAAAGAGCCCTAACCAGTTTGGCTCAGTGGATAGAGCATCGGCCTGCGGACTGAAGGGTCCCAGGTTCGATTCCAGTCGAGGGTATGTACCTTGGTTGCGGGCACATCCCCAGTGGGGAGTGTGCAGGAGGCAGCTGATTGATGTTTCTAACTCTCTATCCCTCTCCCTTCCTCTCTGTAAAAAAATCAATAAAATATAATTTTTTTAAAAAAGAAAGAAAAGAAAAGAGAAAAGGAAAGAAGAGAAAAGAGAAAAGAAAGAAAAAAGAAAAGCAAAGAAAAGAAAAGGAAAGAAAAAATATAAGAAGAGAAGAGAAGAGAAGAGAAAAGAAAAGAAAA